GTTATCAAGTAAATGCAGTTGTGGGTACGCGCATAATTGCTTACGCAATCAATGTTAATTATAAGTGAATTCGAAATGTTTGGAAATTATTAGAGCTAACTGTGATATTTAGGAAGTGAAATGGTATTTGTTCTTGTAAACTTTTGGAAACAAAAAAAAAAAAAAAGTTTTCCTTAACACAAACTTTGATCGCTACGAAAATAAGATTTTACGCACGCAAAAAGAGAATTGGAAATGTAAGTGAATATAAGAACCAAGAAGATAAGGTAAGAAGCATATCCAGAATGTTGTGTTAAGTTTTTGTTGTTGTTGTAACCGCAAAAATATTTCCTAAAATACTTTTTGGAAAATGTGGCGGGAGTGACAGTCCTTGGCCGGATAAAAATCCGGGTCGTTCCGGTATAAAGACCCGACTGTCGTGGGAACTATTGAATTTTATTCGCCTCTTACGACAGGCATGCCTTACCGCGGGTAAATTCTTGAGTCGTTGAGTTGAGTCGATGTTGTTGCTGATCAGAGCAATCAGCGCACTTAAGTCTGAAGGCCCATTGTGATGCCGCTGTGGTGTACTTCTCATCATATCACGAACACGTACGAACACTTTTGTGTGCCTTGTTAGCGATGCGATACTGCCCACATCAGTTTAGGCTTAGGATAGGACATCTTTCTTTGTCTCTGCAGCTTCGACAAAAATTATTGGAAAATATCCCATTCTAATGCCGTGAAGTCCGAGTATACCCTTTGCAGTATTAAAGTTGAACCGGTTTAGGAGAACTAGATACGAGGTGTGTAAAATGTGTTTTTTCAAAAATTATTTATTTATTCATGAATATCTATTTCGTGCCCTTCAAAATAATTCCCATGAGATATTACACACTTGTGCCAACGGTTTTTCCAATCTTCGAAGCACTTCAAAAAATATTTTTTTTATCTTGTTCAGCTCCTCCATCGATGCCGTCTTTATCTCGTCAATCGTAGCGTAACGTCGTCCTTTCATGGGCCTCTTCAGTTAGGGAACTAGTCACAGGGGGCCAGATCTGGGGACCGATAAACGGCGCTTCGGTCCAAGGTAGCTTTTCCGTATGCCACAGTCAACATCCGGAATGCATCCGTGCACTGAATTACGTTTTTCACACAAAATTTGATACAGATTCTTTGATCCATTTTTTTGAATAGGTAAAAATCGAAGACCATCCAAAAGACGTGCAAGCAAAGCAGCTGTCAACAATTGAAGGAACATCCAAAATGGCCGACCTTGTCGGAATAAATGACAAAAAAATCGAAATACGATTATACGTAACCCGCGAAAATTCGAAATTCGCAATACTTTTTGAACACACCTTGTATATTGATCTTTTGAGCAGACCAAAGCTTTGTGGTCGCGTTGCGTGTCTTTTCGCTAAGCCATCTGGTGTTGGGTATTTCGGTGAAAGCCGAAATATTAATTTATTTAGACTGAGTTTTGCGGGAACCAAGAGTACGCCCGCGACGTGCAAAGAATTTGTTGAGGTTAGGGTGGTACCATCTCTCACTAGTTCATCTGCCATTGAGTTGGTTGTCTGGACTGTCTGTCCCTCTGTCTGGGCACCCAACCCACGGCTGTGTTACATCTAGCTGAGAGCTTGTTTAACGCGCTTCTGTATTTTAATGCTACTTTTAATGTGGTGTAACTATGTTAAAGAGATCTAATGGTAAGTATATATTGATTGATTGATTTGTAACCAGAGATTTCAGTACTGCGACTTCGGCTACAGAAGAGCAGTAGCCTCGAATCAAAAATGGCTTAGAGTGTTGGTGAGCTAATTCCAAAGCCTACCCTTTCATCGAGTTTATCCGGAAGTTTTAAAAAACAAGGTTATACTTTAGTTCATAATCCAAAATTTTCTTCTATATAGTACCTTCTATGCAGGTGATGAAGCGGGGTATCTGCCAACCCAATCACCCGAACGATTTCCGTTATCTGAGAGGATCTATGTATCCCAAAACATCGCAAAAAGTTTATTCGCAGTTTGCTTGCCAACGAAGCGGGGTGCCCTTTAGATTATTTCAGACATCTCGCCATTCACAATTGCAGGTGTCCTGCTCCTCTGTTCAATAACCTTATCACCACATCAATTTTCATCTTATTACAAATCTTAAGCTGAGGTTTTCCCTTCCAAACGCGACATCGGCTGACTTCGCGTATTTGGGCGGGATGATGTATACGCATTGAATGTTCTCAACGTGCTGACATCAAAATAGTCTCGCTACAAAGAAACAAAGTCTGGCTACACTACCGTTCCATTTGGAACCATTTGCATTTGCGGTCCAGACGGTGGCCAAGACCGGATTGATGGCCAGGAAGGTTTTTCTGTATGTTTGGTGGGATTGGCAAGGAATCATCAACTACGAGCTGCTCCTCCATGGCCAAACGCTCAATTCGACCCCCTACCGCCAACATATGGACCGTTTGAAGGCAGCACTCATCCAGAAGAGGGCATCTTTGATCTTTGAACGAATTCCATCAGGACAATGCCAAGCCACGCGCGTCTTTGGTGAACGCGCCAGAAGCTTCAGGAGGTCGGATGGGAGGTCCTAATGCACCCATCTTATAGTCCGGACCTGGCACCAAATGATTACCATATTTTCCTGTCCATGGCGAGCGCGCTTAATGGTGAGAAGTTGACCTCAAGAGAGGCCTGTGAAAATTGCCTCTCCGAGCCTTTTGCCAATGGGGACGCAGCCTTCTACGGGAGGGGTATAATGAGGCTGGCATCACATATTTTAAAAATCAATGAAAAACCGAACCAACTTCTTACTTGTCCAAATATATTAATAACTTTTCTTTATAGTAAGTGCACCTACTGAGCTGCTAAATGCCTTCGACAAGGTCAAAACAGAAACTAATAGCTATCATGAAAGAAATTCGGTGCAATTCTTGTCTACCATCACGAGAACTCCTTGCCAGCGTTCTCCTCAGTAGAATTCAACAAACCTCCTCGTACATTAAATGATTAATTGAGTTAGGAACGGATCCAGCTATGGGGAAGAGGTCCTGCTAGAAACCTTTGAAGCATGCCATGGTTTGGATTTAAACGATAATTTGACGGAGCCAGCCCAATCTGATCGCTATGGCATATATACGACCGATATATCAGATTTTGAGGTCATAAATTTGCCAAAAAAGCTTCTAAGAGCGTGCAGTTTACTGAATCTTTTTTTCAATTGGAATACAAGTTATGCCTTATAAAGTATTTCAATTAATACTCAGAATCATATCCTGAATATGCCAAAATCAACAAATATTGCTAACTAACATTTCAATCACTAAAAGCACGTAGACTCGGAAGAAAAATAGTAACAGTACTTTACATTAAAACAAAAAATTGTAGTCTGTCTCATCTGAGCATCTGCAAGCTGTAGCAGTAACAGTAATCGTAATAATGAACTCGTACGCTTGTGGCCAATCTAGTGGGTGGGTTAAGCTTATTTTACGGTACTATAATTATTTGTAGTTATTTTCGGATTTTCCTCCGCCCGACCTACACCCAAACTCGTCGCTCTATTCAACGAGTTGCCTGCTGCTTATCGCTGGCTTACACACGGCACGTTATGTGCAATTCAATCTCAATGGTGCTACTATTTTTATGCACTTGCACATATTCTTATTTATATTTATATTTGTACGTTTATAAATACCCACAAATCTGGTTGCAATTATGAAAATGAAAATGTTTCATGTAAAAAGCACTTGAATAATGCTTAACGACTGCAATTACTTGAATATTTTCGGTTTGATGAAATTTTAATTCGGAAGAATTTATTATTTTTTTACTTGTTGTTCTTGGTGGCGTTGAGGGGGGGGTGAATTAAAATGATAACTGTCTATATTTTGAGTGGAAAAAGAAAAGAATGGGTAAGCTCATATTTTCATGTGTGGCCAAGTGCCACAAATTTGCATTGAAGAACTCATAAGGTTGGGGGTTTTAGGTTTCAATGAGATACTTTTTATAGTTTATTTCATATTACATTTTTTTGAATATTTGCTACTCAAAACGACATATTTTTCTATAATCTGAAAATTGGCAACATTGCAAATAAAAATTTCTCTTTCAAAAGACTATAAATTTGCTTAAGACTTATGAAAGAGAAAATTGAAGTCATTGGCAACAACGCAATACTTGTAGAGGAGAAAAATTTTGAGCAAATAATGAGAAAAATATTTGACGAGAAAGTCAATAGCTAAGACCTAAGTGAAGAAAATTCGCAACGTTGTAAACGAAATTTCACTTTAACGAAAGGGTGAGTCTACTTCAAATTTTTTAAGAAATTTTTTAAATGAAAAAAAAATATCAGACTGCGAAAATTATTTCATGAGAACGTCAATTTTCAAAAATCTACCTTGCAGAAATATAATAACATAGCTTATAAATACTTGTTTAATAAGAGCACAAGTTCTCTTCGGGTTTATCAATAAGAAAATTGGGAATATTGGAAACATTGGCAACGTCGAAATACTCTTAGTGGAAGAAAAATCTCAACTGTTTAATTTTCCTACAGTAGACTAAAGAATCAATAATGAAAACCTGCATGAAGGAAATTGGCAACATTGTAGATAAAACTTTGTTTTAAAGAAAACAAGTCCGTTCAAGATTTACGGAAACAAATTGACAACATTGGAAACGTCATAAAAAGGGAATATGACGTTTTCTTTTGTGGGGAAAGGTAGGTGAACGGAAAATCAATGAACAAAAACTATAAAGAAAATCGGCAACATTGTGAGCATTTCTTTTTAATAGTAAATATGTACTTTTCATACAACATAGAAGAAAACGTTACTCTCTACATGAAGACAAGCAATAGTGAGGCTTTATCAGAAGGAAAATTGGCAACGCGGCAAAAGAGTACTTCGCTTTAAGAACTTTGTGAGCGATTGAAAACTGTTTGTTTTTAAAAGAAAGAGGAAATCGTAATATATTCTCACTTGAAAATGGGGAAAATTTAAATGACTTTTCACTTACCGGTTCTGGTGGCACCTCATCTAACACCTTCGGCTCACATTTCTCCTCTTCAGTGCTGTTCGTCACTGTTGTAGTATTGCCAGTGGTAACGTTACTCGCCTTGACAGGGCTTGCAGTTGCCTCACTAGTGGGTGGCAATACCGTTGTCGATGCCAACTTGGTCGTTGCACTCCGTTTAGTGACATGTTTTTGTAGATCTTGTGTCGCCAATACGTCACCATCGACGTTGGTTGGAATCTTATCGGCGTCTGTTGGCACGCCATCAGCGTAATTTATTTTTGATGCGGTAAGTAAGGAAGCCGCTGGTTTCTCCACATTGGCGCGCTGGTAATGACGATGCGCTGTTGTGTGTTGATGTTCATGTTGCTGTTTTTCGAGCGTCTGTTGCTCGGTGGCATGTTGTACGCGTCTATAGAACATGAGCAACTGTTGTTCATTACTATTTAACTTCCGACCGACAGCGCGTTGTGTCAGCTGTTGGTCTTCATCGTATAATACATCTTGCTCCTCCTCTTCAAGTACCTCTAATGCAGGAGATGGGTGTGCTTGAACGTCCGCCTCATCATCGTTATCCAACAAGTTAATGCGTTTTACCTGCACCTGTACAAGTGTATCGGCATCGGCATCGCCCTCGACATCCTCTGCTTCATCAACTTCCATATTCGTAGCGGGAAATTCGTAATGCGCTTTCCGTGGCACAAAAGTCGTGGCGCTTGCAGACAAAATGGCGGCGTGTGTAGCGGTTGCTTGGCACAGTAGTGCCACGGTGGTGGCGGCGGTGGCGGTGCTGTAAATCCCATGTGGCAGTAATTTTGGCGCAATGAGTACGCCGGTTACAGTTGCAACTGTGCCTGTTACAGACGCTGTTGTTGTTGTTGATGTGAATTGTGTTGAAATGCTGAGTAACAATAACAACCAGAGCCAGGAATAACGTTTCCTACAATAACTTGAAACGAGAGTTTTTGCTTTCGTCACAGCCGCGATCAGCGTGCTAAGAGCTCGCACGGTGGCTGTGAGGTGCACAGTTTCGTAGATCACGTTTCGATTTGTTGCTGATGTGCGTGAAAGCTTTGGCGACGTGTGCGCTGGTAATGGTGTGGCTGTAAGTACTAGCGTTGGAGGCATTGGCCATCGATGATGATGGTGAATGGCCAATATTTCGGGTACCAGTGGGGTCTTCTGTGGCAAGGACTGTTGCGTACGTTCAGCGCCTTCATGCGCCTTCTGTTGTTTATTCACAACTTCTCTTTCATATTTGTAATATTCGTGTTGTTGTAGTCTTAGGTGGTTTGTTCTTTCGTTTTCCTTTTGGTGGCATTTCCGTTGGGCTTGTTGTTGCTGTTGTTTTGAAAAAACTTGTTGTAAGTTCGTATGTGTCTGATTAGCTTGTTGTTTCTGCTGCTGCTTTCGTGGTTCTTTATTAGTCTGCCACACACATTTCCCCCGCACTTCCATATCCGTTTAAGTATCTTGGCGTCTAATCTGATGGCGATGGAGTGGGGTAAGGGGGGTTTTGCACTAAATTCCGTGGATCTGTAAAGAAAAGAGAAAGAGTTCCTTAACCATGGAAGCGTAATATATTTTTGAGAAATTTGAATATAAAAAAGTGTTTCGGGAGCTCCTGACTTATTTAAAGTCAAAAATAAAATCGCTAAAAGGTAAGGCTCGTACCGACTTTTATGTGCATGTGTACCGTATTTTGAATTGTCGTCATGAAATTGAATACGAAGGAATCTATCGAAGTTATATCGACGGCTCTTGGAATATAATCTCATTTTGAGAACCCAGAAGAGAGTGGCAACTTCAAAAGCATATTGAAATACGTGGTATATATACAGATATATGTATGTATTAGATATTGGTTGTCCCAGAAGAAACCGGCGAGTTTTTAAAAGAAACTAAATACATTATATTATGATAAACTTTAACCAATTATGTAATTCCCATTTTGTTTGACTGACTGACTGACTTTTCGCCATCTTTACGGCAACTTCATTATTGCTCGCTCATAGAATTTTTGGCCTTTATCTGTAAAAAACTAAACCAAGTGCGATTTTATAGCTTCGTCATTTTCGAAAGTTTTACCATTTAATGAGTTCTGCAAAGATCGAAACAAATGGTAGTCTGGGCTACATGGTGGATGCGCGGTATAGCATTGTCCTCGTGGAATATGACATCTTTATGATTGACCAATTCTGATCGCTTCTCGTTGATTGATGTATTTAATTTGTGCAGATGTTCACATTTGAATTAATCGTTTGGTTTCTTGGGAGCAGCTCAAAATGCACAATCTCACCAAACTGACAGCATATTGCTCTTTTGGTGAATATCATCATTTGGAGTGGCTCGTGGCGCCTCATCATGCTTGGACAATCCATTTTTTATCTCCAGTTATGATTTGTTTTAAAAACAGATCTCATTCAATGCATTCAAGGTGCATATCATAAGCTTTGAAGCGACTTGCTAAATGAATTTCTTCCAATACAAGTGATACCGAAATATCAAGCTTTCATATCAGTCCAAGACATCGGATATGATTATGAACGGTTGATTTTTGTATACTTTACTTCTACACAATCTCACGCTTAGTTACATGATGATCCGAATCGATGAAAGCCTTGATAAACGTCGTCATTAACTTCACTTGGCCGACCTGGACGTGGCTTATTTTTGACTGAAAAATCTACCGAAAGGAATTTGAAAAACAAACTTCGAAGCTGGGATTCTTTTAAAGCCTTATCCTTATCCCTGCATTTTTTCTTTTTAGGAAATAACAAAGTAAATTTTGGTGAAAATGTTTTTTGGGTCCATCTTAAAACTGACGCCAAACGAACATATGTAGGAAAAAATTACACGTACTTAAACATAGTTAAATAGTCAAAAAATTGCCGACGCAGTATGTATGAAAAATCGCCGGTTTCTTTTGGGGCAACCCAATACACGTATATAAGCGGCTGCCTGTCCGTAGCGTGGTAGCTTCCAGTATGCCAAATAATAAAATCCCCACACAACGTAAGTGACAACTAAGCTAATTAACAACTTAAATTTACAATGCCTTCGAGCGAAGTGAATGTAAAATAAATTTACGCGTGAAAAAGTTATGCTGCTGCTTTTGTCTAAACTTTAAATTGAATTCGAATGCTAATTTCCATTCCTGGAATTTCGTTTGTCCGTTGTCATGCGTCCGATTTGCAAATGGCTGGCGGTTAAGGCGAGCAGTCATTGTTGTTGGGCAGGGAGAACATTCAGATACAGAAAGTATGATGACATATTTGTTGTTGTGCATTTAGTAAATTATTATCAGTAATTTTATAAATGCATGCAGCTATGAAGCTTGTTGCCGTGAGTCGTTTCTTTTCTGTAGAAATATTTTCCCCCTCTGCTGCTAATGTCCCTGCTAAGACGCCAACGAACGCTCGATGCGCGTCATTCGAAATATATTTACACTTAAGTTAACTGAATTATCAACAAATAATGGTACAACGAGAAAAGTTAAATCTTGAATAGAAAACTTTGACAACACCTGGAGCCCTTTAATATTAATATTTTTTCTGACAACCAAAAAATAAATAAAATAAAATGTAATAATTTAAAGTAACTTAAAAAAAGATATCAAATTAAATAAAATAATTAAATAAAAGCATAAAATGAAATTTCAATAATGACAACAAATAAAATAAAATAATATGAGATAAAATAAAATGATATAAACAAATAAAATAAATAAAATAAATAAAATAAAATAAAATAAAATAAAATAAAATAAAATAAAATAAAATGAAATAAAATAAAATAAAATAAAATAAAATAAAAAAAAATAAAATAAAATAAAATAAAATAAAATAAAATAAAATCAAATAAAATAAAATAAAATAAAATAAAATAAAATAAAATAAAATAAAATAAATTTAGATAGTGTAAAATAAAATAATCCCATAATACCTTTTGACTTACGTGATCTTGAAAGGACCGCTGAACGGTTGTAAGATGATTGGGGATTTCTGATAGTTCGAAGTTCAGAGAACTGGTACAAGTTCAAAAGCTCGATATCAGCGCGCTCTTAATCTGGAAAAATTGGTATGAATACCCCACGTAATGACTAATAAACCTAGAATTCAATTGAACCTACACAAAGACCAACAAGTGCCGGCATATCAACCAGTCAGCAAAACCCAACCTAACCATTTAAAAAAAATTATAATTTTTAGTATCAAATGCTAATAGGTCTTGCTCTATACTTTAGGAAATGGAAATGATTTCATTCGGTATGCAAAAATATTGAATTTCTGATTTCACTTTTCTATTTCCACTTTCCATTTTGTTAGTAAATCTATTTCTTGGTATATGAATATTGAAAATAAAGGGTATTTCGCTTGAACTCAAAAATTTTATGGAAATATCAACAAAATTGATGTGCATACACATGTACATGTATTTGCGAAAATTTGTATTGATAGTCATCTATTGAACCCGGTGCCCTGCACTTATATGGAGTTTTATGCATTTCAGTCATATACATTTTCACAAATGCATACATACACACACACACAAATATACGCACATAGCACATTGAATCTCCGCCATGGCAGCGCAGTTATTTTTCAAAATAGCGCCACAAGTTTGTTTTTTATTGCCATCAACTATCGTCTGGTTATGTTAGCTTGAGGAGTTTTTTGAATGTATGTTATGCACATATATATGTATGTATATAGCCTCCTCACCAATTTCGCTAACTGTCGCTGTTGCTGCAGTTGTTGTTGCAATTGTCGTTGTTATTGTCAAGAGTGCGTCAATTCTATTTATGGTACTGTCCAACTGTTTGCCAATACGTCTGTCTAACGGTCTATCTCTCTGTCTGTCTAACGTTCTGCCTGTTCCTCCCCTATTTACCCGTGTCTCTTCTTGGATTTACACTTTTTTCTACATTTAACTACTGGCAGCGCATATTTTTCATGTCCCATGTCCTTGCGTATTTGCCCCCGTTTTCATTCAGTCATTCAGTCATCCAGCCATTTTGTCGTCGCTGAATCTGTTTTCGCATTGCTGTTTTGGTTACGACTTTGATTTGCTTGTTCCACACTGTTGCATGCAATGCGAAATAATGTGATTACTTTAGCAACTTGGAAATCTCTTTTTAAACTCAGGATTTTTTTTGTGTTTTTGCCTTGGAGTAAAGGAATTCGCTGCAAGTATGTTAGGTTTATTAATGGGATGATACTTAGTGAAGCTTTTAGTGAGTAAACAAATTAAAATTAGTAGGGTTTGGAGTTGTGTGTTCAGTTCACTTGAAAATACTTGCATTTAAAGTCTTCACGGTGTTTTGTTCTCTTAAGCAAAAATTTACATTATAACTCAAGCCTCAAGAATATCACTTTAATAGGTGTTAAAAATCAGACCTATAATAATCTAAATATATAAAAGACTTCGTCCTGAATGACTGATGAATCAACCCACTGCCTAAGCCACGGACTGTAGATACATGAAACTGGAGTGTTTATTCTGCGTATGACGTATGCACGTGATAAGAAATAATTTTCCAGGAAATAGACCTGAGGCCGAGCTATTCGAAAAAATCGTGTTTACTTTTAGATCGTATTATTTATATGAAATTTGGTAGCTTTGGATCTATATTACCGTTGGTAACACTTTTTTTGGGTAGGCCTGAGACTCATCCATTCGAAACATTTTTATAAATATTTTTATTGATCGTTTGATTTACATAAAATTCGGGAAGTGGTTCTAAGACCAATATAATAAAAAATATTCGCATTTGGTACAAGGACAACCTTTTTGCCTAAACTACCATTTGGGAACACATTCTCTTCCTGGAAGGAACGATTTCCCATTATATATGTATTATTTATACTTATGTTTATTTGAAGTTTGCATATATAAAACAATCAATCTAATAAACAAACTTTCTTTACTACAAATATGCGAGAACAATTGTATAATACTCCATTTGATCGGTATTAATAATTTATGGGTTTTTTATTTATTATAATTATATATCTTAAAATAAAAAATATTTTAATTAAGACTTATGTATTTTAATTTGGTAAAAGTAAGAATATGAAAAACAGTTTCAAATGCACATAAACATTTTTCGTATAAATCATTGAAAACAATTATATATATATAATATATAATTGGCGCTGCAGCAATTTTTCGGCCAAGCTCCTTCTCCAATTTGTAGTTCTGCGTCTTGATGTTTCTCCAACAAATGTAGGGACGAGCAGCTTATACCAAGCCACCTCCGAACGACTGATAGCTTTTTATAAGGAGCTTTCTATCATGTCCGAAATATACTCGGATGGCGACCGCAATTAGAAAATTTACAATCAGACACATGGAAATAAAGCAAGAGAATTTAGCACAAACTACTTGCATATCTAAAAAATTAAATTTAATGAATAGAACATAACCAGATATAAGAAACAATGATTGTCAAATGGGTGGAATTACTATATTGTTAGCAGGCGATTTACGGCAGACTTTAGTGCACGGAGAAACGCGAGCGGACGAAGTTAAAG